TCCCCCGCAGAGGCGGCTCCGGTGCGCGTCCCGCACGCCCCGGCTCCCGGCGGGACAGAGGGGGGGGTTCGATTGCGGGGGGGGCGGGGGAGCATTCTCGATCCTTCCTGCAGACAAGCCTGGTAACGGGTTTGCTGTGCCGTGTGTTTTTTTGTCCTGTGTGCCGGTGTGTGGCCGGTGCGTGCGTGGGGCGATGCACGTGTGCTCCGGCCCGCGGCGCCCTCTCCAGTGTCCCCTGATCTGAAGGAGCGCAAGGACGATGCGAAAGGGATGGAGGACGAAGGCCAGACCAAGATCAAGCAGAGGCGAAGTCGGACCAATTTCACCCTGGAACAACTCAACGAGCTGGAGAGGCTTTTCGATGAGACCCACTACCCGGACGCCTTCATGCGCGAGGAGCTGAGCCAGCGGCTGGGGCTGTCGGAGGCCCGCGTGCAGGTACCCGCCGGGCCGGGCGGGACGGGAGGCCGCCGGGCGGAGGCTCCGCCAGGGAGGCTTCCGGGCGCCGAGCCGGGGAGGGGTGTCTTCGCTGGGTGTTGGGCTCCCCGAGGCAAACCTCAATCCTCCAGTCTCCAGCAACCCCCCATCTCCCCACATGTGTTCCCCGAAGAAGGAAGCAGTGCTGGGCTTGCTCCCAGAGTCTCTACCAAATGCACCCCGTTCGCCTCGCGCCGTCTTTAATGTGGTTTAATTCTAATGGGCCTACTTTTATAAGCCTTAAAAAAAATCCCACAGAAAATCGTTTTATCTCTGGATGCTTTAAAAAGTTCCCCTGAGTGTGTTCCTCTCTGGACGTGGAGTTCCGTCGAGGGTCTGCCCCGGGATGTAAGCTTGCCGAGCGGATATGCCAATTAGGTTTATAGATGTACGGACTATAAAGAAAATTAGTAACTGTTAAGCGCAGAAATTTACAGTCCGCTGGTGGAGGCTCCGTCTCAAACCCGGTGTGGAGCAGAGGAGGAGCAAGTGCGTTGGGGGTTCTGTTTTGTTCTGTGTTGACCAAGGCCAGGGACCTTAGGGCAGAGAAATTCCATTTTTACACGGTCTGAAGCCTCATCTCCAGCAAGTGCTCATCCCCCGCAAATTAGAATAGCCGCGGATTTTTCTTTATTGGTCGTTGAGGTGGATTGTAATCGCAAAAGTGGCTCTGGGAGGCCTCTGAGAGAGAAAATGATATGCGTCCGTGCATAGGATTCCAGGTTTATGGGAACAAATTTAAACGTTTCAGATTGTATTTCCGCTCAAATAATAAAAGAGGAGAAAATGATGGTCATTATTTGTTTGAACACATGGAGCAGTTTTAGGCTAGAATGCCTGCAGCTGTTCTAAAGTATGGCTGTAACAGATACTCCCGGGGTCTCTGGGCGCGGAGACGGCCATCTGTAGAGAACTAGGCGCAATTCTTTTGGGGGCTCCCCGGCATCTTGTAATAGGATCAGGAAGAAAGGTTGAAGGAGGAATAGAATAATAGGCGGCCGTGGTGAGCACGGTGTCAGACTCCCCTTGAAAGCCTTCCCTGCCTTTTGCTGTATGCTCAGACATCTCTGGAGGCTACCAAACCCCTTAACGCAGTGATGATTATTACAGGTCTGAGTAATAGTATCTCAATTCTAATTCTTGGGGGGGGGAGGCAAGAAGCCTCAGGCCATGGCAATGTCACAAAGGTTGTCATCCAGACACAAAACCCACCCCTTTATTATATTAAATAGCAGGGGCATTTTTGAAGATTCACATTCATGTGACACTTGCTTTCAAAAGTAGAACAGGAAAAGCTCTGAAACAATATTTTCCTTTCATGGGATTTTTTTAAAGCATTAATTTGTGAATCAGTCAATATGCTGTATGATTGGAATTCAAGTGTAAAAGTCAGCTTTATTTGAATCTTTAAAAATAATCTGTCATACTGCTTCTCTAAAAGTTGGCAATTATTTAAGAAGACCAAATTTAGTATTCAGGAGTTTCTAGAGTCAAGCTACATCCACCCCCCACTTTGGGGGAGGGCTGTTCTTTTTTCTTACTTAAGAACATTTTTGTTGGTCTTTCTTATTTAACTTTCAGTACTATCCCCCCCCATCTTCCCTACTGTCCTAACTGCAGGCAGTGCCTTTTCCTATAAAAGCAAATTAGATTATCATGATAATGACACAATTATTCTGCTGCTGGGTTACACTCTGCTGCACAGAAGAACACAGAAATCCTAAACTTCTTTGTTGTGAGGCTGTTATGACACTAATTACCTCTCCCTCCTTACAACCTACCCCCCCCAATAAAGTATTTGCTTTAGTGTTTGGTTTTTGTTCAGGATAAAGCTAATTAATATTACAGGCTATTACTGAGCCCATTCTTTTTAGGCCCTAAGTGGGCAAACATTTAAACCCATTATCACGTTGGTGTCAGGTACCAGGGAGCATCTGGGGCCTTGGGGATCCTAATGTGGAAGGATGAAACCAGGGCTAGAAGTAATTTATCAAGAAACAGTTCATATTTCAGTAGTGGGTGAAATCCTCCTATTTCTGAACCTCATTTACATTTTTAATTTTGGAAATTAGCGCTGTTTTATATAATCCATAGGTTGCTTGTTTGATGTTGAAGACCATGCCTAAAATGCTAGTACTCTAGTAACTTAAAACATTTTTGGGGTAGTAACATTTAGGGTTTTCCCCCCCTCCAATTTGTAGGTTTGGTTTCAAAACCGAAGAGCTAAATGTAGAAAACAAGAAAATCAACTCCATAAAGGTATGCTTCTTATAAGACATAAAACACTTACTATGCTAAGTAAAAAAGAGGTGGGGGTGGGAACGAGAGAGATCTTATTCCTTGAGTTAAGAAACTCCTCTGAAGACAGTTGCTGAAAGTTCTAAAGTTTAGAATAAATTTATTTTAATGATGGCAGCCATAGTGCAAAATAGCAGTCCAGTTCTAGTATGATCCTTTAGAATCTGGGAAACAAAGGTAGAAATGTTCCCTTCACGTTATAATTGTGTTCCCCTATTTTTTTTTTACAGGTGTTCTGATCGGGGCTGCCAGCCAGTTTGAAGCATGTAGAGTTGCACCCTATGTCAACGTAGGAGCCTTAAGGATGCCCTTCCAACAGGCAAGTTACAGCCTAGTACCAAAGCTGTTTCTAAATGTGAAGGGGTGGGGGGAGCCTCAATTCTTGCTTGGGCTGTTGAGCCCCCAATGCCCAGGCAGCTGGAGAATCGATTTCAAGATGATATAATGGGCCCACTCCCCTTTAAAATCCTATACAGTGTGGAGGTCTTGAATGCCTAGCCCTTCCTGTTTTCAAGAGAATCCCCAAAGGGGTCTGAGCGCAGCAACTGGTCTTTTTTAAAATGCAGTAAAGATTGCACTTGAGGAGGAGAAGGAAAAGCCTTTTGATTATGATTTTGTCAAATCTAATACACAGGTTAGTCCTAAAGTGTTTCTAAGGCAACCCTCTAAATATTATTTTTCTAGGTATTTCCCACCTCTTAGTCACTTTAAATGTCTCTGGTGGAAGAAAAATAAATACAAGTATTCCCAACTCAGACTTGTTTTTTAAAAGCTATCTCTGCAAACAAAGCTTTGTCTCTGATGGAAGGGAAAGCCTTGATTTTTCTAGGGCCACCCTACCCCAGCAATCCCTTTCTTGGCGGTGAAGAAGAAACCTGGAAGACCACATTTAAAAATGACAGCCTGGAGGCATGATTTAATCCTGGGAAATCCCTGCGCTCTGCACTCCCCACTCTTTGAGCCTCAGGGCAAATCCTTTCCCAACCAGCACCTGACCTTCCCCTTCCTTAGCCAGGACCCCCTGCCTTCTTTACTGGGCTGTGTTGTGGTGAGTTAGATGGTACCGGTCAGTGCCCTGGACTGGGGTGGACCCCTGCGGATAGCCCCATGCTTTCAGAGACAGTGTTGGGGAGACTTTAGCTTTATTAACACCACAGTCCTCTGGCATTCTCTAGTGGGGTTTTGAAATAGGAAAGGAGAATGGAGGAAGAGGAAGGGTAGAACTTAAAGAAGACTGGTCCTTCTTGGAAAGCCAAGATCCTCTGCCTAGCAGAAGCAGGACCTCCTGAGAGATGTTAGAGAGTCATGATTTCTGGCACCAAACGAAACCTTCTGATTCAGAATATGAATTTTAACAAGATGCCCAGGTATCCCCCCCCCTTTTGCTTCTATTGAAGTTTGAAGTCTGGGCCTCTTGCCTGTTCAGCGTGCTACGTGCCCAGCTGGAAGTCTCCCACTTGTGCCAGGCCCCCTTCCATGCACCCCTAGATCTTGTGACAGTCACATCTAGGAGTCCAGTGCACAGTTTCTCCAGATACACTGGAGATCCCCAAACTTCCCTAAGTGTGTGTGTGTGGGGGGGAGTTTTGTAGTTTGCTCAGTCCTGGGACAGAGTGGGCACCGCAGACCAGGCAGGTCACCTCTGACCTTTCCAGTATAGCGTGGTTATTTTGAGGTAGATGATGTCTTAGCACCACAAAGGAAGTCTCTTGCTTATTCTTAGATCTCCAGGATGGGGTGGTGGGGTGGGGTAGGGTGGGGCTGGGGGAGTCGGCCCCAGATTCAGTCAGGACAAGGAGACAGTCACCCTGGGTGGAAGCTTAGCCCAAGCCCCCTCCCCCGTCCCCGCCGGACGCCGTTAATGCTCTGTTTCTATTCTGTTGTCACCCTAGGATAGTCATTGCAACGTGACGCCCTTGTCCTTTCAGGTTCAGGCCCAGCTGCAGCTGGACAGCGCCGTGGCGCACGCGCACCACCACCTGCACCCGCACCTGGCCGCGCACGCGCCCTACATGATGTTCCCAGCGCCGCCCTTCGGACTGCCGCTGGCCACGCTGGCCGCAGACTCGGCGTCTGCCGCCTCGGTGGTGGCCGCCGCCGCCGCCGCCAAGACCACCAGCAAGAACTCCAGCATCGCCGATCTCAGACTGAAAGCCAAAAAGCACGCGGCCGCCCTGGGCCTGTGACGCCGCCGCGCGCGCCCTGCGCC